CGATTGTGGAATCTGGTGATTCTCAATCCACAGCAGTTTTCGATGTTAGCATTAAAACAATATTGGTCCATTTGCGTCAAATTGGCAAGGTAAAAAAGCTTGAAAATGGGTGCCTTACGATTTGTATTTATACTGTATGATAGAGCAATCAAAATACAGTGGGAAACAATTAATGTATATTTCACATTATGCAATAAAGGATCTGAAATCATTTTTTAACTTGACGACTGTATATAATAAAATAGGGAGAAATAAGCAGCCCTTGCTGAGTTATTGCCGGTTCTTCTCAGTACAAGGTCTCCCCTGACGTAGATTTACGAACCGATGGCGTAGCTCCTAGACATTCATGATTGCTTGTAACAGCCTAAACTGAATAAATGATTTTGATTATTGATTGATCGCCAGCGCGAAGTACGCGTCGAGTCGAGTGGATAGGGCGATTAAAGGCTTGGCCAGGACCTTGCCGAACTAATGTACTGAAATATGGCTAGTGTAAGGCCATTCGTGCACTGCGCCCACTGTCACCTGACGTTATCTCGACCTCCAAAGTGTCGTGTAGATCGGCGGAACCCCTAGAACTTGGCCTGATAAATCGAGACTGCTCAACAGGCACAGAAATGTAGGCATATTGAATCGCAATGTTACTTGCGATCAGCGTCGTTCGGCTCCGTTGCTCCTGTACGATAACGTGCGACCTCATACTGCACAGCAGACATTCTCCAAGTTACAAGAGCTGGGGTTGGAAGTTCTCCTTCATCCACCGTACTCACAAGACTTTGCCCCCACACGTTTCTATTTTTTCCATAATTTGGATAACTTCTTAGCGAGGAAAAAATTTAATAACGGAGAGGCAGTTCAAAATGCCTTTAAAGGATTTGTTGCCAAAAATGCATTGATTGCATGGGTAATAAAAATAAAAAATATATAAAAAAGGGCGTTAACTTATTTTATAAAAACGGCAATTACATAAGTAAAGACCTAATATATTCACATTGAATAGGCAGCTTTTATAAAAGCTCTTATGTCTGTATTATTTTGATATCTCGAATAGTTAGGTGCTATTAGTTAATTTGTATACAATTTCAGATATTAAGACTATATTATAGTTTCGCTGGTTTGTATACTTAAAGAAAATTAATGATAGAAGACTGATAAAAAGAATATTCAAAGAACATGGTAACAAGTATAAGACTAAAGAAAATATAACTAGAAAAAATTCCACGCGGGCCAGGCTTTTTCTAGTTATATTTTCTTTAGATTTAAACATCAAGCAGTTACATGCTTTAAAAATAATAAAAATTATAAGTATAAGACTGTCGGGATGATAACATTCATCTGTATTCTGGTAACAGGATATGTCTGAATGGTAGTAAAAACATATGTTTCGCGATTTTACTTACAGATAGACGTAAATGTATTTCAGTATAGAACTGAACCACATTGAGCGAACGATTTTGATATAAGTCTTAAAACTAAGTCTTCTTTATATTTTTTTTGTATAGTCAAGTAGGCAAATGACTCTACCCCACCTGATGTTACGTGGTGACTGTACAACAGTTATAAACTGCCAAACCAACCATCCTCACCTTGTCGGCCTGCAAAAATGCTTCTTCACGCCTCTCTTTAAGGACCCCTCATTGTAGGAAGGAGGGAACACGTGCGCAGTAAAGAATTCCATTTGCGAATAGTACGACAATATTTTTTGTTCGTGTAGGAATAGTGGCCACAGTAAGTCGGTGACAAAGTCAGTCAGTTTGAAAGGCCAGCGCGCGTGGTCCTCTGAAGAAAAGGTGATGGAGGGATAAGGGAGAATAACTCCTCAGAATACTACTACTACTACTAGAATGCTACCGACTATGCCACGGCGAGCTTTATGATGCCACATCGCGGCGTCATTGTAGAGACTCGAGTTTCTTAGTACCTCTTCATTTGTGATTAAATAAAAAATTATGGGTGGAGTCAACCAACAAAAGATACCGCGCGGCCGACGGCATTGTTTTAAGTGTGATGTCGTGACCTGATTGGTGCGGTAGGCGGCGCGCGAGTAGAGACAAACACTTTCTTTGAGTTTGACCGAGTTGACTAGAAAAACGTAAAAAATCATTAAAACTGACTGTATGTACTTAAATCGTAAGTTTTTATTTTGTTTTTAAACATTTATTTAAAGTAATATATATAAAATTGTAGTTGGGTAATGTAAGTAGGTAGGTAGGTACTATCTACCACCAGAGTCATTCAGACTTTGATCGCCCGACCCTGTTGGCGCCCCTTAGAGACCGGCGCCCGGGTGCGGCCGTACTCGGCGCTCCTATGGGAAAGCCTCTGGCACCTTGTTCAGGACTCCGAGTTTACGTGAAGCTGTTTTGATCACGGTTTCGATGTCGTCTTTTGGATTCAGGTCTGAGCGAACTTCTCTGTAGCGTCAGTGTTGTGCCCTGAAGAGAGAGAAGGGAAAGGAATGGCGATGTTTTGCCTTGAAAACACAAACCTGGGTTATCTTGGCATTGAACTCAACCAAATTCCTGGTACCCTATTCGGAAATGTGGTCCAAAGTCTGATTGAGTTCAGTGACAAGATTCTCCGTTTCTCCTTGGTTTCTACCTGCCCAGCCACTGTGTGTCCAAAGTATCTCGCATGCACTGTACTATCGCCTGCATAGCAATAAATATTCCCAAGAGGAATCAAATCATTGATATGCAGCAGAAAGAGTGTGGGGGATAGAGGGAGTTAGCCGCAAAGAGCTTTGCAAACAAATCGGCTTGCTCCTGCGGCTTATGAGTTAGTGACCAATCTGGACATCGCAGAGGGGGCAGTGAGGGCTTTTTTTTTTTAATTATGTGTTTGTTTTTCAGGTTGCAGATTTGGTGTGCTGCGATTTGATACAGCAAAACCTTTTGTGTTCATATGTTTAATTCGTGTTTCACTGTGGGTATGTATTTTTGATTATATATTTGATATTATATATATGTTCATATGTATAATGTTTATATATATATATACAATATTAATTACTAATAATATATGTTATTTTATATATTTCTACACAAGTTTAGTGTAGTGTTTATATTGTATTGATTGCTTACACCAAAGCAGTTCACCGGAACCCAGCCAAGTATGGCTATGTTCCATTGAACCGCCTTAATGAATTCGAGCATTGCTACTCGGGTTTTTTCGTTTGAGGCTGTTTCAAACATATTGCGTGGGTTGATTTTATGAAAATCGCAGCATGAAATATATTCGTGTCTAATTCTTGCATATCTACCGCACTCGAATAGTAGGTGGTCAATGTTCTGAATTGCCCCGCTAATGCAGGGGCAAATGTCATTATCTATGATTTTAAACCTACACAGATACTGCCGGTGATATCCATGTCCTGTAAGGACCTGAGACAGCCAAAAGGATGCGCCACACTGTTCCATCACTTTTGTGACGTCGTCCAGTTCAGGACACATCCTTCTGGTATGTTCTGCAACACCGACAGTATCCCTGTAGGTTTCTGTCCATTTACTTTGTGTTTCTTCCTTTATTTGGTGTTTTACGTAGCTGATGGGAAACATTGCGTAATTATATCTGCTGTGCAGCGTTGCAGCTGCTTTCGCAGCACAGTCGGCCTCCTCGTTTCCCTTGATACCTACGTGGGCTTTGACTCAGATGAAGGAAATAGTTTTATTTGCCAGTTCTGCAGTGTGTATGGTTTTGTGTATCTGAGCCACTTGAGGGTTTGTGTTGCTGCGATCAGCCAGTGCTTGTAGGGAGGACATACTGTCGCTTAAGATGGTGTATGAGTTTGATCGGGAGCCCAGCGCCCACTCACAGGCTCGGTGGATAGCGAGCAGTTCCGCTTGAAATACTGTATACGTGAAGTGTAACTTGAATTTTCGAGTGGTTTGGGGATGTTTCTGCTCAGGGTGGTACGCAACGAAAGCAGCTCCCACTTCCCCTGTATCAAGTTTGCTTCCATCGGTATACACCCGGGTGGATCCTGGCGGGCAAATGCGGTCGATTTCCTGATCGTTGGTGGCAATTTTGTATTCAACTGTTATCCTATTGGGAGGCGGTAGCAGTTGGTGTACGGGTGTCGGCCGTTCCATTTCGATATCGTCCGGCAGTATTTCCGTCCTTCCTGTGAGGCGAGCTTGCTCAATGCGCCAGACCTCTTTCACCTTTAGGTGTAGAGGTGTCATGCGGGCGAGCGCAGTTGCCGCAACAGTGGAGACGGTCCTAAAAGCTCTGATGGCCTTTATCGCGAAAAGTCGCTGCAGGCTGTCGAGCTTCGTGCGGACGTATTCTTTTTTGGCGGCTCCACCCCAAACACCAGCGGCATATGTTACTATTGGTACAATTACTTGATTGTAAATAGTCCGTATATTTTCAGGATGTGGACCCCAAGTGGCTCTCGTGAAGACGCTCAAGCGTTTGTGTAGCTTGAGAGCTTTCTCTGTGATATACTGAACGTGTTCGTTAAAGGTTAGCTTTTCGTCTATGATCATACCTAGATATTTCATTTTGGTCTCAAAGGTCAGTTTTTGATTTGTCATGTATATATTTGCTTGTTTTGCCGCTGGGGTGAAGGCGACAAGCTGAGTTTTGGAAGGACCGAATTTCAGCTTGACGTCCTCTCCCCAGGTATCAATGATGTTTAATGCTGTGTTTGTTTTTATTTCCAGGTCTTGGATAGCTGATGCAGAGGTCACAAGGAGTACGTCATCGGCGAAGGCTTGGAGGTGGCAGCCGGAGGGAAGACTCACCTGATCCAGAAGTTCATCTAGGATGAGGTTCCACATTATAAGACCACAGACCGATCCCTGGACGCAGTGACGGCAGTGAGGGCTGGCAGAAGTTGTGTTGCACGACCTTAGCCAAACGCCAAAACTACGGGAGCCCGTAGCGTGCGTTAACAATTGGTGGCCAGTACATGCAAGACGTTGGGCATCCACTCTCATGTAAGCCTTCTTGCAAGACTTGGAACAAGAGTCACCTTATTGGGATAGTCGCGCATACTATCTCAATATGCTATAGTGCCAGATCCTGCGTTTGACCACCAATGGTCGAGGGGTCTTGACCTGTGGCACCTTGGCAGATATCAGGCAATGATCTGTTGGACCCAGTGGGGCTCGAACCATAACCCGATACTCCTGCGGATGAGTCCTAAGCAGAAGGTTTAGTAAAGAAGGCGCTTGACTTGCTATGTCTGGGATCCTGGGGGGCTGATCGACCAGTTGTGTCAAGTTATGCACGAGAGCGAATGCATGGGCAGAGATCACTGCATCGTCAGTTTTGGAGGAGCCCAACCACAAACCAAGGTGGGCGTTAAAGTCCCCCAATAACACCAGTTCTGCGTTGGGAAATTGCGCCTGGGCATCATCTGCTGCCCGACTAAGTGCTCTAAGAGTCGAGTTGTCTCTGCGTCGCCGGTGTGGGATCCGTAGAGGCACACGTAGGTCAAGAGTCTACATGTACTGCTTACATGGAGAAGGAGGGGTCTTTCAGGCAACGGTGACAACTAACATCCGCCCGAACATACAGACATACGCCGGCTTTCGGTTTGAAGGATACTTCAAGCATGTAGCCGGGTTAGTTAACGTAGCATGTGTCAGCGGGCGTAAGTATTTGTGTCTCCGTTAGAAACTGCTGGCCGTGCTGTCTTAAGATGGTGGTGGACAGCATTGAGGTTAGAGTGGAGTCCGCGTATGTTGCAGAATTCGACTCAAACAGCGCGGAAGGCGTGGGAGTGTGCACCGTTGTACAAACAATCTTTATTTTACGGGCTGCTAGGACCGGGAAAAAATTGAGACGTGATTCTCGTGACTAACTTAACACGCGCGTGAAGCACTTCATGGATTTTTCACCATGCGTACAGTGATAACAAACCTGGCGGGTGTGAGGCACCCTACCACCAGAAGAGCGGATGGAAGCTCCGATAACCCTCAGTCGCTTCTTACGACACCCGCGGGAAAAAAAGGGGCGGTGAGTAGTGTTTTTTCTCCGTCACCGCACGGATAATAAGTGCGAATTGGATGCGTATACGAACGTTTTCGCATGCATAGATAGAACATTTTAAATGCAATCAATGACCTTGGTTCGCTCTAAATTTTAAAACCGGCAAAATTGAGTTTCTTTTTTGAGGACACCTAAATTAATACGGTAGCTTTATATCGTATCTAGAGGATCTTGTTGAACGAACGAACCTTGAAGTTAGAGTATTTGATTGAGTGTTCGACGCAGCTTTGGCAGGTGGTGTGCTGCGGGCAAGCTGGCTGTACTTGCAGCTCCAGCACCGAACTGCTCACCACGCCAACCTCCTCGAACGAGAGCCGAGTGTACGTGTGACTGGTCTTGTGCCTGACATCTGCGGGACAAACGCATCCTTTATGGAATAACCCATATAACAACCATTATTATCATCATCAGCCTAATAATAGATCCTATGGATGGAATAGGGAGATGGGCCATAACCCACCATCACCAGGCGGGCTTAATGCGATTTGGTGGATGCTAACAACTGCAGATGTAGCCGGGACCAATGGTTTAAAGCGTCGCGAAGCACGAAGCAGCGGGAAATATTAAATTTTGGATTACCCATCCAATGACTAGTATTGCGGAAGTTGCTTTACTTTCACGATTGTAGGTTTGCCCCAAGAGCTCCTTTACGGCTTCGAACAGCGAGTATTTTGACAATATTCGATTGTACACCTAATGAACCCTCTTTTCTCTAAAACAGGTATCCAGAAAGTTACATGTGAAATCTACAGAAATCTAAGAATATAAATAAAAGCTATGAAACTTTGTAAGTGTAATTTTATTTAAATGAAAGATCCATTACTAAATAAGAACAAGGAATAAATAAACTGTAGCAGCAGTTTTTCTCTTCCTTTAATATTTGATCTTCCTGGCGGTTATTTTGGACGATATGGGTTCCGAGCGAGAATCAAAGTTAACTCCAACGGCTTCGGATAAGCCAGAACGACTCCATCTTCACTTTCTCGAAATCTCGAGTTTGCTTGGTTGTCTACATACTTAGACAGGAGACGTCCACTCACGTCCAAATACGTTTCTTCATGTATTTTTTGCAGAGAAGCTCATAGGTTTCGAAGTATTCTTATCTGGTTCTAATGCACTCTGAAGCCCTCTTATAATTAAGTAAACCCTAAGAGCTCGTTCCCACTTGTCGGGTGTCGGCCCTTGATTTTTATCGGATGTTCCAGTGGTAGAGCATTTTATATAAAAAAATCACTCTTGTCGGAAACCGATTTTGTGTCGGAGCCGACAAAAAATGATATAAAATGCTCTGCCACTGGACCATCCAATAAAAGCCGACACCCGGCAAGTGGGACAGAGCTCGGTTTTATATAATTGTAAAAGAGCTGTGAAAACAATGATGTAGAAACAAGTTACGCTTACAACTAAGTATAGATCACGTGTCGGCTGTCCCTGCCTTATCGAGCTTCGGTACTCATTTTCATCGTGCTTTGTATATTATGGATAGATAGATTCCCACACACCACACTCTCAGACACCCACCAGTCTCCGTTAATTTTAGTTTCGCACAATTTTCTGGATGGAATCGACATATTCTAAGAACTCACGGCGTGAGTGATTTTATCCTGCGGCAGCCGCAGCTAACGTAGAATGTGAAATTGTAGGTAAAACAAAAAATAAATTTCACGACGCGATTTATGCCCGCAGAGCGTGCGGTTATTTGCGGCACCCGGTGCGGACGCGCGCGAGACTGGATTACCCACAGACACGGCGGGCCGCACGCGGACCGCAGTAAACTGCGGTGTCGTGAGTTTCGAAATAAAATAGCCTGCGGCCACTCGCGGCGCGTGCGGGAAAATATCGTTCAATTAGTTTTTATCCTCAGTCAGTTAGGTCAGATTATTGTAGCAGGCTATTAAAATACACTACCTATAATTATGATGATTAACCCGTATTGCACCCGTGTAGATACGGCGATTGAAATATTTTTTTAGGAATTTTCTGATACTGCCGGCGCGTTGCGAGGACTTACAGTAAGCGTCTTTGTTCATAAGGAACGAGTCCACGAGCCCGATCTTCATGTCGTAGCTCTTCTCCTGCAGTTCCAGTGCGCTGATCGGCAGCTCCTTGTAGGAGAACGTGACGTCTCCATCGTCATACATGGTAGCAGAGAACGTAAAGCGGGACTGTACGTCTCCGTAAAGTGGAATATTCTCCCAGATGACGGTTAGTCTGTCCGCTGAAACAATCATTCTATACAGATTGGCAGATAAATTGACGAGCATTATCATTAAGAACAAGACATCAAGTTTTGTATCGGTATGCAAATAACCTGTCCATTGGCATTGCTTCTTGGGAAATTTCGTGATTCCAGGTGAATGGTAAATACCCCACAGGTTTTAATTCTCTTGCCAGCGTCAAAATATGTAAATGAAATCAACTTGAATGGATGTATCTTTTATCTCTGTGGACTTGCAAGTTTGATTTCATTCTCACCAGCCATTGCTGGGGCATGCCTTTTCTTAGGAAGGAATAAGTAAAATAGGCCACGATGTGGGTAAAATGCGGTATGGTGGTTGCTAATTAGTGCTAACGATTACAAATATAGCCGGTACCAACAACTACGATGACACTGAGACGATAATTTTTTAGAAAACTGTTCTTTGATTAGTCATTGCGAAAGTTGCTTTACTTCCACGGTTGTGGACCGAACACGTAGGCATCTACGCACTATTGAGCTCCTAAGTCCTGAGTGTTTGATATCAATTTCAGCTTGATGTCTTCATGCGTTAATTGGAATCGTCTACAGGCAATGTGAGCGCACAGAACTGCTCCAACTTACGTTCATCGTAGAAGATGAGGGCGTAGTCGTCGACGTTGGTGGTGTCGAAGTTGGTCATGAAGGGCTGCAGGCCCTGCCCGTCCGCAGACCAGTCTAGCCCTGCTACCCCCGTCATGATGTAACCGCCGGTGGATATCGTGATGTTCGTCACATTATGACCGAAATAAGGGAACTCGAATCGCAGCTTTTGCATCTGAAAACGATATACATTCTAACTTAATAAAAATCCACGTAAGAGACACGTTCCTGACTATATTTAACTACTATATGTAGATATAACATAGTTTTGTATTTACCATTCGCTTTGCGTAATATTGTTACGGTGAAATACCTCCATGCTCAATTCATATGCTCGAATATAAACATCTTAAATAGAGTTTAGGGGTTTAATGAAACAGAAGAGGTAGAGATATAATTTACAGGCATCGATCGGTGTTTAAACTTATACCGTTACAAAAGAATAAAATCCTTTTATGAATGACTACTTTATGACTTAATAATCCATCATCAACAACATGAATTAGTTTATTTATATTCAAAACTTCGTTGCATAAGGAAAAGTAAAATTATTCAGTAATTCCAAATCTATTTGTTTAACTGTGTGATAAACAAGAAGTTAGTAAAGTATAATATTATATTATAATGTGTATAAACTAGGCAAGCAACCTCTTATTAGTAATCAGTTCGGTCAATTCCAGCAGCACAATATAACGCACGCTTAACAGAATATTGACCTATTATTATATAAGTCATCGTAATATAGAATAACGTAGAAGGCAATGGCTTGTGTTTGCACTATTTTATTTAACTTGCTATGCATGTAATTTGATCGGGTGGAATCTTGCTACTCAATTTTGGAGCTTCCTTTTAATCGAAAGCCTCAATCGAGCTGAATTTTTTTACAGACGTTTAGTTGTGATGACAATGCATGGTTAGTTATGTAACGTTATTCTAAACCCAATATTGCGGTACACCCAAGAGGGCGGACTAGTTATTTTTGATACACTCCTACAATATGGGCACCTATTATTGTTTCTTCTCGATAATTCTCGAATTAGGGGAAATCCGCCTTGGTTCGAGACGAGAAAAAAAATCGCGTGCCACTAATTCAAATCAGAAATCAATATATCTTTATTCAAATTGGATGTATAGTACAACTATTATGAATCATCCAAAAAAATTTTCTCTACCACTCGTTATTGGATATATTTTATAGCTGCAAAGTCTTCGAGGTAGGTTTTTCCCAATTAATATCGTTGCTACGCGATCATCTTACAGATCTCCGTGGATCGTCCATGCACCTTTTGGACAGTTTTCGGCCATGATTTTGTTCGTGTTGTTGTATGTAGGGTAGGTATTTAATATCGTTGATTTTTCCGCGTAAAATTGTTCTCGCTCACTGCTAGCAAGTTGCTTCACTCACACACTTCACACACACATTACAAATTCGTAGAGCCACAAGAAGAAGTTACTTACTTAGAAATTAGTAGTCTAATGATTTTTCTCAGAAAATTCAACTTGATATTTCTAAAGGATGATTTTTTTACTTATAGTTATTGCTGGACATAATCGAGAACTCCAAAAACACCATCTCAGCGAGTCCTTAAGTCCTTTCATCTGATACCCATATTGTAGGAAAGCACAAAAAACTTAGTTCGCCATCGTTTAAAGTTCGCCATATTGGCTTTAAGGGAAATCCATTTTATTTTTCGAGTTTCTAAGCAAGCTTTTTCATTTTATACCAATTTGTAGGAGTGCATCAAAAATTACGATTAAGCCATCGGTGTAAGCCATCTCTGGTGTTTCGCCATATTATATTTAGAAAGACGTCACAAAGCTAACCATGCATTGCCATCCAAACGAAACGCGTGTAAAAAAATTCAGCACAATCAAATGAAGATATCTCTTAAAAATTGAGTTGCAAGATTCTATCCTAACAAATTACATACTTATACTGCTAGTTAAATAAAAGCTTTTAAAACAAATAAATGTGATTGAGTGAGAAATGCCCTCGTTGGAAGACTCGAACCGCCAAAGTCAGTGCCTCAAGACAAAAGCCTTTACACAGTGTGTGTTGCCAGTGATGACTTACGGAAGAACGGACTTAATTACTATGGATCTTATGATCATATTATGAAAACTTAAGATCACACAAGGACTAATGGAGGTAGCTATGATCGGTATAGATCTATACATATGGTCCTGTGTGATAGATTCAGAAGTAGGGATATCCGTAAGCGAAATCGCTCGGAGGAGGTTGCTTAAGCTCAGTAGTACCCGAAATAGAAGCTGTTAGGCTGAAATGATTATTATGATTTATTTAGTTGTTTTATATTTATTTTGTATTACAGATGGTAGAGGCTGGTTCGCTGTGTCTGAGTGTGTCGTAATATATCATGTCTTTGAGTGGTATATTTAAAGGAGCGAAAAAGTAACACTCAAAAGTAAGAACAGAGGATCCAATATATATTAAATATAATTAATGACAGCCGTCTTTGACCTATTGGAGGCCCTGGGCATATTAGGATAATGGGGCCATAGGGGACTTCTGTTTGGTGATTTGACAGGAACTAGGGATTTTGTATTTGGTCTGAGGCCCTCCCCTATCGATCGCGAGGCCCTGGGCATTTGCCCAAAGTGCCCACTGGGAAAGACGGGTCTGAATGACAGTGAGAACGAGAAACCTATGAAATATTTACGATATTAGTGCGGTAAATTATTCGATAGTCTAGGGCTTACCTAAGCACGAGCACGAGTTTGTATTTATATTGTATTGTATATTACCAATTCCGCACGAATGTCATACAACGTTCTTCAACACATTTGCCACAGCACCTATACCTAATTTAAATAAAATGGCGCCACGTAAAGCTAGTGAAAGTAAGAACTACCTACATCTTTCGTCTTTTTTTGAAGTGATAATTTCTTATGGGAGGGTATTCCGCTTCTTGAAGTTAGACGCCACAACCCGCCCAGGTGCCTATTATCACCCATCAGTCCCCACTATCACTCTCCAATCCCTTATTACCACCTATCAATCCCCTTATCACCCTTGAATCCCTTTCACCTTCCAATCCCCCTTTTCACTCTCGAATCCCTTAACACCACCGATTCCCTTTTCACCCTCGAATCCCTTTTCACCCCCGAATCCCCTTTACACACTCCAATCCCTTTTCACCCTCCAGTACCCTTTTCATCTACCAATCTCCTGTGCTCAAAAACAAATAGTTAAAGTTCTGTTTTAGTTCACTTCTGTCGTGCGCCATGAATGGGAGTGGTTAAACGTTTTACCGTACGCTCCGTTGTATGGCCTGAAATTTTGAATATTCAACATCTAAACAATTCAGGCGCCAGGTGCCCGTGGTGGCAATTAGAATTACTTCTCTTTTTCTACAGTCTCTTTTTCTTTTTGGTATTAAAGTGTAACAAAGATAAAAAAGGTAAAGAATGGTTTTCAAGAAGGTTCGACCGTTATTAAAAAAAAATACCGTAACGGATGCGCAGTCCGCCATGTATGGGAGCGTGCGGTAAAACGTTTTACCGCGCTCTCTGCTGTATAGCCCGTAATTTTGTACTTTTAAAAAATTTATACAACTTGCGTAAATGCGTTTTTTGAGCAAATGTGTTGACGTGTGGCAGTTAATAACTGCTGTATCTATGCTTCGCGTTTGGACTTTATCATCACTTAACATCAGGTGGGGTAGAGTCATTTATCTCCCTGGCTATAACAAATCATTTTAATTCTTATTAACATAGAAATGTATTTTAGTTATTTTTTCCTGATAACGTGGACTGATTTTCATAAAATATTTGTAAACGTATAGTTTAGAAGCTTTTTCGCTGTTTAGTTTTTTTTTTCGTTAGTAAAGAAACATGATTGTAGTAGGTAAAAGCACAGAACACAGAAAGAGGTTTCTGTGTTCTGTGGGTAAAAGGGTCTCATTACTAGATAAAAGGGTTTTCTTACCGTCAATCAATTTATCAGTAATTATTTAATTTCTGCTCTAATATTGCTTATTTTTTTTTATAAATCACTGCATTTAAGTTCTTCTCTAATTTTCTATCAGGATTAAAGATAAAAATACTCTAGATTTCGTCCAATATACACAAAATTACAGAAGCATACACTAGGTAAAAGATAAAAAGTTGAAATGTTTTGGAAAAAAAGTCTTTTACACAAGAGGGCCAGCATAGTTCTGTTATTCATGCATATCCGTCATGCAATCACGCCATTGAAGTCCATGCGCGACACGTGTGAGAGAAATGATAAAGGTGCTTCCATGCCTCAGTACGGTATTATTCAATGGACTCGGTTTTACTACCAGTAAAAAAAAATGTAAAAAATACAATTACATTAACTAATCTATACATATAAATAAAATGGTAGGAAAGTTAAAACTGTACAGTGAATATTTTTTTAAAAGAATACTAGGGGTGTGATCTACAATCGATACCAAAGCCAAATATATAGTTTTTAGAATTTTTGTCTGTTTGTCTGTATGTATGACCGGGATAAACTTAAAAAGCACTGCATTAACTCCACGCATACGAAGTCGCGGGCGGCCGCTAGTGAGAAATATACACTAATGTACTGCCTTTATAAAACTCTCACGGCCGCACTCAAAAAACTCTACTAATTCTCTAATTGTGACTATCAATTTTCACTTACTATTCAATGCTTGACTTAATGGAGCATTAAAATTTACTGATATATTTGAGTACAGCCGCAAGTTAGCGTTGACGTAAAACTAAATGTATTCCACTTGTCTACATCTACAATGCTTGAATGTGGGTGCGTTAATGAGTGCATCATGTACTAACATAGGAGTGTTGGTAGGAGTTGGTGATGACTGCGGGATGCATGACCATCTGGACTTCCGAGTCGGTGATATTGGCCCAGTGCTCTTCGAAGTACGACGCGTCTTTGATAAAACGACTCTTGTAGTACCTATGATCCACCTAGTGAATATACGGGTTTTGGTTAATTTTATAGAATTGCCTAATTATCTAGTTCCATTACAAACAGGAATTCATGTAGATAAATGGGAACAATGGTATTGTAACCATTTATTTGTCTGATGAAACCACTGAGATCAATGAGAATTGTAATGTAACGAAGAAGTATAATAATTCAGCTATAGAGGATGTTCCAGGTTACAAAAACAGGAATACTACAATTTAAGTGATTGCTTC